GTATGGAGAAATTTGTAGGCCCTCTCTACATTTTGTCCTTTAGCTGTGTCCACAGGACTTCAGGATTGGTCCCAATCAAGCTCAGTCATTTGGAAAAGAATTCAACTTGATCATCATGGAGAACAGAAAGAATTGTCCATTTATTTCACTCTTTCATGACAAACACTCACATCATCATCAACAGGCACTCAGAATTTAAAACAGGGCTGTGGTTGTAACTCAGAGGCACAGCACCTGCCAGGCAAGTGCATGGTCCTAACTTTGATGTTCACTAAAGAAAGAAAATATTAAAATATTCTTTCCCCCAAAACCACACAAGTTCTAATTATGTGAGGTGAATGCACTCTCTTTTTGCTTAAACTGAGCAGGCACAGACTGATACTGGCAACCCCAGTGATTTGACTGGCATGCAGACACACATGCAGGCAGACTATATACCTTTCTTTTGTTTTTGTTTTCTTTCTGTTTTTGTTTTTTAGGGAAGGATCTATAGGGTGTTCAGGGTCTCACTACTAGATAGGATTTGTTGTGATCCGCCTGTTTACAGCCTCCCAAGAGCTGGGATTACAGGCATATGTCACCATGCCCAGTCTTAATTGCCATCTGAGCAGGCCCCGGGGAAGGGGCAGGCATTGAAGGCCCAGAGATTGAACTCATGACTCATAAACCTGTTTTCAGGTGCTTTAATCTGCTGAGGTCCTCCTCCTTTTTGGATCTCATATGCCTTGATCAAATGAGGAGCTAAGAATACTAGTCCAAATCTCTGAGGAGAATCAAGAAAGCTAAGGCATATACTTTCCCTTTGGGATCTGGAAAGGTCCCTGCTCCAGCCCAGTTGGCTATACCTGATGTTCAAAGAGGTCAGGATTGTTGGTTTTCTTCGCTGATACAACTGATGCAATGGCAAACAAAATAGTAAAATGCAACTCAGGATTTGGAGGCAGGTTTATTTAACATTGATGGACACTGACTTCTAGAAGTGTTGGGTCTCAAAATATCAAGAGGTGATTATTTTCAAATCAGGTTTGCTTTGAATAAGCTGAGTATATGGTGGTTGATTGATTCTTACATCTTGTATCAGAGTGAGAGTTATGCATCACAGTGACCACTTTTTATAAGAAACAAAATAATAGGAACTATAACAGAAACTGAAATGAATGGGAGGTTATATGGAAAAATAACAGAAAGTTAAGTGTGCTTTCTTGGGGGGGGCAGTGACATTCTCTGCTACAGTGATCAACTTGAAGTGTAAACCTATGGTGTCTTGATTTTTCTTCACTTATTCTTATAAAGCATGTTTCAATTTTATTCAATATTAAAATTCTTTTAAATATTGAAAACACTAAATTGTTTAGTGTTTTCTGCTTTTATGACTAAAAATCACTTCTCAGTGATTTTTCTTCACTTATTCTTATAAAAGCATGTTTCACATTTTATTCAATATTAAAATTCTTTTAAATATTGAAAACACTAAATTGGTCCCTGACAGAAGATGGGAATGATAGAAGGAAAAGTTAGTAATAAAAGTGGAAAAGAGAGACACAGATCCTGTGGGACACAGAAAATAGTTTGTAAGGTGTAAGGAGGGGTGTAACAGTCTGTCAGCATTCTGTCCACATAACCATGTCTGAAACATGTTTGAGCAGCCAGAATACTGATTTCTAAGCACCACATGCCAGAAATCTTAAACTTCATGACTTCCACATGATGTGCATGGGCTACTACAGAGCTCATAAACATGGCTGTCCACCACGAAGATGGGGATGTGCAGATGCTACAGTGCCTAGAAAAAGTACTAGAAATTTACACTCATTTACCATCCCAGATTTGGGTTGGAAGTCACAAGCCTTCAGTGTGCTCCACAGTTCCTCAGTGCTCACTGTAGCAGGGTCTGACAGTGTTCTTATCGATTGGCTCACACATTCCTCATGCTTCCGACTCCTCAATCTTCCCTGTACTCTTCTCTGACGACAAAGCGTTGGCATCATGATTTTCCTGATTGTGTGCTTCAATGTCTGTGATAAAACAAAGAAATACAGGAGAAGTAGAATTAGCAGGAGACTTGACGCAAAAGTCAAATCAGAACAGAATTCATGTTAACTTGGGTGAAGCAAAGACCGGAAAGAGAAAAATAATTATATGTAATATTTTCAAAGTAAATTGCAATTTATTGCTATTTTTAGAAAGCTCACACTACCACAAGTTCAAAACAAATTGTGAGTAGATTGTGGATTAAAAACATAAATGTATAATTTGATGACATAAAGGAAAAGGACAGATACAATTTCAGAGCTCTTGCAATAAAAATAGTTTTTGAACAGAAGTAAATTTTTAGTCATAAAAGCAGAAAACTCAAATTATATTTTGGGGAAAATATAGCATTCTGAGAAACTGATAACATACATAAAGCTGAAGGTGGAAACTGAAGATTCCAACTGCAGCAGAAATTCATTCCAGGATCATCAAAATATTTTGCAAAATCTACAAGCCAGTGTTTATCATCATACTTCAAATAAAAAACCCTCACATGCTGTATTTATCTACTGTTGCACTAGCAGAAACACTTGGTGCATTTCAAACCAAAGGAAATTATTTAGATCTCAATTATGGACATTCAAAAATATATAGCCAGGATCTTCTCAGCTCTGCTTAAAGACTCAGAGAAAAAGCGTCACAGTGGTGAAACACACGCAAAACAGATCACTGGAGGAGACAGGAAGAAAAACATTGTTGCAGTCGAATTTGGTTTTAACCAGTCTACTGCTTGAATATCAACACATTGTGTAAGGTTAGTATTAATCCCTTTCAAGAGTGATTACTGCATTATATAACACAGGAACTTGGATACAACGCTGAATGATTGCATCTTTGAAGCATCCTATTGGAGACATATCTTCCGACACATGAAACTTTGGGTTGAAATCTCTCTTTCTTTGGATATGTCTATGGCTGTCTTTATCTCTGTCTCTCTCTGTCTCTTTCTGTCTCTCTCTGTTTGTCTCTGTGTCTCTGTCTCTGTGTCTCTGTCTCTGTGTCTCTGTCTCTGTCTCTGTCTCTGTCTCTCTCTTTCTCTCTCTCTCATTTTCCTTGCACTGAGTTTACCTTCCTAGTGGAAGGAGCTCTTGAAGTACTATATAGCCCAGCCTGACCCACATCTCTCAGTAATTCTCCCACTTCAGCCTCCTGACTGTTGGTATTAGAGCTGTGTGTCCCAACAATTGGCATGTAGAAAAGTCAATATTCAAATACAAAATATGAAACATTTCCAACAAGACAGGCATAATAAATATAATTATTTTTATTGACAGTTAAATTCTATCAGAAAAGTGGAAGTAGTTCACGCTTCTAAATATCACAATAGTAGTTACACTTGACAATACTTTCTGGGAGAGGTTCACCCATCTTAGAATTAACAACATTCCTTTCCTCTAGACAGGCTGAGTCGAGAGAAGTGTTTCCCATGTGGAATTTCACAGCTCACGACCTGTCTGACTTGCACATAACAAAAGTGTCAAAGATTGGTGGAGTAATTTAAACATCAGTGCTTTAACAGGAAACATATAAGTATCTCATGTAATAATTTTCAAAAGATTAATGGAAACATAAACAATATAATATGATTAATTTCTAAAAGGTAAACTAAAGTAGAAAGGAGTATTTTTCAGTGGTAGTGCCTGTGTCAGCATGAATAGATGAAGAATGTATTTAATCCTCTTTTGCTAAAATGTAACATTAAGGAGGCATATTAACACAGTAGGACTCAAGAAATAAAATAAAACAGAGGTTTAAAATGCCAACACGATGGGGCCAGGGAGATTGCTCAG